ATTGTATAATTAGCATTGAATGTTTGCCTTATATGTGTTCTGTGATCCACCCTGAGTCCCCTTCAGGGTGAGAAGGATGGAATATAAGTACTGTAAAGAAATAAAGGAAGAAAGGAAGATATAGGGTAAAACTCCTCTGACTGGATAGTCTGCATCCCTGCCATTAACAGATTAATGCAAATGAAGGAGGAAGGGATGAAAATAGAGGTAATTTGAAAGGGAAAATAAAATGTTTTGCATTTTAAGAAATAATTTTGTAATTAAAAATTGCACAATCTCACTATCAAGGGGTGAGGAGAATAAAGGGGAAAATGGATGAAATCTGACCATCATTTTCATCAAGGTTTGAATTTCCGCTTTTTACACCCTAGTCTTACATGGATTTCTTTGCAAGTTTGGTTCTTCTGTTTTGACCATTTCAAATATGTAAAAGATTTGTGTGAATGGGAGACAACAGATCTCAATGGTTAAGAGATGACTGGGATACTGACCTTCCAGAAACAAGAAAAGTAGAAGTGAATGCTACCATAAAGTGGAGTTTACCTCTAAATCCATATTCTTTGGATGCTCTTCTTCAATGTAATATTTAGGAGCCCCCGGTGGCGCAGTGGGTTAAAACCTTGTGCCTGCAGGACTGATGACTTGAAGGTTGGGTTTCTGGCTTGAAGGTTGGGTTTCTGGCCTGAAGGTTGTCAGTTTGAATCCAACACGCAGAGAGCACGGATGAGCTTCCTCTATCAGCTCCAGCTCCATGCGGGAACATGACCTTTACCTCCCACAAGGATGGTAAAGGTAAAGGTTTTCCCCTGACATTAAATCCATCATGTCTGACTCTGGGGCATGGTGCTCATCTCCATTTCTAAACCTAAGAGCCAGCGTTGTCCGTAGACACCTCCAAGGTCATGTGGCCAGCATGACTGCATGGAGCACCGTTACCTTCCCACCAGAGCGGTACATATTGATCGACTCACATTTGCATGTTTTTGAACTGCTAGGTTGGCAGAAGCTGGGGCTGACAGCGGGGATTCAAACCTGCAAACTTTTGGTCAACAAGTTTAGCAGCCCAGCGGTTTAACTCAGTGCGCCAAGGATGGTAAAAACATATTTTTTAAAAAACCATCCAGCCATCCCCATGGCACCTTCTTTGCAGACGGCCAATTTTCTCACACCAGAAGCGACTTGCAGTTTCTCAAGTTGCTCCTGACACACACAAAAAATTGAAATATTTTTTTAAATGTTTGATGTTTTTAAAATAATTTAAATTCATACTGAATGTTTAGCAACTGACGCAACCTATTTCATAATAGTAATACTAAATATTACTAAATATTACTATTTTTTAAAATAAATGCTATGCCTCAAAAGGCCTGCACGTCGTTAATGCTCAGACAGAGAGAGTCCCTCTGAGCAAACTTGAAATCCTAGAATGCCACTGGATGTGGCAGTTGAAACAGCAGCTAAAACGGAATATTGGCATTAAAGGGTAATATCACCCTTTAACTGTATAGTTTGACAAGGCCCAAGGGAAGTGTCTTTCACTTTAAAATGCTTTATTTGGTCAATCTTGTGAACAGCAGGCTTCCTAAAGAAAAGGCAGCGTGACAAGGCTAATGTCCTCCATACTAAGTGCAGTTTCTCAGCAGTTTCCATTTATGACCAAAACCGAAAACATGAACACTAAAGAAGCCTAGATAAATGGTTCTTTGCCCCCCTCTTTTTTGAAGGTTTATTCTATTTGATGGGTCTACAATAATTGCCAAAAATTGGAGGGGGCAGATATGGATTTTGCTCTGTGATGGCAACCCACAGGAATAACTGGTGGATTGCAACACCCAAAAGCTCCAATTATTTACTGTGCTGATGAGATCTGATGGGAGACGAAGTCCTGTAACATTTGGAGGCCATGCCAGCTGAGATGATTGTTATATATCTGTATCTATATCACCATCATCCACCACTATGTCCAGGACCACCTTCTCCCATATGATCTACTCCAGACACAAGGATCCTTTGGGGAGGGATCTACTCCAACCAACCAAAACCTGACTGTGGTTACTTTGTCTGAGGCCATATCATTATTGAAACCCTACAAACGGCTTCCAGAGTTTCCATCCAAACACCCAAGATGCTTGCCTGCATAGTAAAGAGATGGACGTGAAATTAAAATATGATTTTAGGTTCATTTGGTTTGAAGTGTATGCAATTAATTATTCTCTTAGTTCCATGTTTAGGTCTATATACAGAGCCAGACTTAATTGCAAAGCTAAATAAGCCATCCCTTGGTGCTTCATTTATAGCAGAACTTGGATAGTATTTTTTAAATCTTTGAATATTTCAAAATGTTATGCATTTATTGTGATGCCTCTTAAAGTTGATGCTAGTACCGTTTCAGCCGCTATGATCTCTAACCATTTATTAAGTAGCAATTCTGAATGAAGTTACATCGTGTACTTGTGTTGGAGATAGCTACCTTCTCAAGCCTCCTCTATGTGATGTTTTGTTAGAGGGGATGTGGTTTTAAAAAGGGAAGTTTCAGAACGTTCCCAATGCCTATATGTTCTGATTTACTGCCATATTAGCCTATTTCTGTAGTAGGCCCATGTTTACAGAAAATGCTGATTGTTTGAGAAATCAGTGCTCTAGAGAAGTTACTATTCAAGGATAACAGTACATCTGGACAAAACCGGCTAGCTGGTGGCTAGTTAGAACCCCCAAGTTTCCCAGTCGCTCTGAAGTCATGTTTGCAACACACTAACAGATAAGATACAATCATGGTCAGAGAACAATAGACTACAGTTGTGTTATAGACTTGTTGTTGTTCATTCGTTCAGTCGTCTCCGACTCTTCGTGACCTCATGGACCAGCCCACGCCAGAGCTCCCTGTCGGCCGTCACCACCCCCAGCTCCTTCAAGGTCAGTCCAGTCACTTCAAGGATGCCATTCATCCATCTTGCCCTTGGTCGGCCCCTCTTCCTTTTGCCTTCCACTTTCCCCAGCATAATTGTCTTCTCTAGGCTTTGCTGTGTTATAGACTACAGTTGTGCTATTGTTAGGATCCCACGTGTGCTATAATGTCAATCAAATAATAAACAACCAATGAGCAACTGTATAGCTAGCTTAGACCAATGAAATGATTTGTCTTTGGAAACCAATAAGAATGTGTATTTGATTTATTGCCAGAAGTGATAAAAACCCTGCAGCCCCATTGGGGGTTGCGCCAAACCCTTTTATTGCATTCCTGTATGCTTGTCATTATTGTTATGGGAACACAATAAATAATTTTTTGCAGTTTAAAAGATTCAACTTTCATGGTGTCCTTCCTAGCTTTCCCTATTGGAAAGGGGGCTCCTGCTTCAATGGGAAATATTTTGCTTTCTTTGCCTCCATAATGTGTTGTTTTATTTCCTGAAGTGTGTATTTTCTTTGGTTTAGTTTCCTTAGCCTTATGTACTTGAGGCAGTGGGAGGGGCTGCCTCAAGTATATGACTGTTTAGAATGCATCTTAAACATGATGACACTTGAGGAATGATAGTGAAGGTTTGAGTCAGAATACAGAAGTTAGTGTTAGAAGACAGTGAAGGCTTGAGTCAGGTCGAGTACAGAAGTCTGCTTTATAGCCAGATGTAGGAAGTTAGAAAACTGTTGCTGCTTGAATTCTTTGAAAGTAGACTCTTATGAAACAGAACTGTGCAGAGGAATACAGCTTTTGAAGAGACTGTTAAAGACAGTAAGTTAAAGAAACAAACTGAAATGTTTTACAGTTTAACCTGATAAGGAATGTGCCTGTATATTTAAATACTTGAATTTATGAGTAAAGCAAACTTATTTTAAAAGAAGTTTACTTGAATCTATCTTTGCTGAGACCATTGAATAGAAACAAGATATTTACAAGCCCAGCAATCACCCATAGCTCAAGAAACTAAAGGAACACCTCCATAACTCTGCTACCCAATAGGTTATGATCCTAACAGGTCATAATCTATAATCCCCAATAGGTCGTGATCCTAACAGGTCATCATCCTTATCCCAAAACGTGGTTGGTGCTGCTCTGTCTGTTCAAGTCATTTCCAATGCATGATAACCCTTTCATAGGATTTACCCTTGGCAATGGTGAGGAATGAAACAGTGGGGGTTTATTCCAATTATAAACAGCTCAACCCGAACTTGCAGTTTTCTTCTATTGAGTGGTGTGCATAAGTTAGATGCTGCAATTCTGTGTAATGTGTACATTGCACAAACCACTGCTTCTGGCTTAACCTTGAGTCCATCATATATGAGATTTCTGATGAACATGATCTGAGGGAAAGGAGCCTTTTTCGATGGTGCAGGTGATAGCTTCAGGCTCATCCTTTTCTCCAGAATCCATCCACAATATCTGGCTCTTTGGTACTCCCTTTTAGGCGCCAAATCCATCTTCAATTAACACCAAGGTCACTTGAGATACCATAGACAAAACAATGGGATTGAGGAAGGGCTCAGAAGTGAGAAACCTTCAGATATCTCAAGAAACAAAACAAGATATAGTGGATGCATTTATGTCCCAAATTTATTTCAACTGCAGAAGTCTATTTGCTTTGTTCACTGCTGTCAAACCAAGACTGACATCCTGTTAATTAGTGGAATATTGACATATATACAAGTTTGTCCATTTAAAATTACAACTACAACCAAGGGATGCAAACTGAATGTGTTTTCTACCCTTATCATCAAAGGCTTCAACTTTTAACCCACAGGGCCATGAAGGCATCTGAACAGGCCACTTCAACCTGCGGTCCTCCGGGTGTTTTGGACTTCAGCTCTCAAAATTCCTGACCATTGAACAAGCAGGCAAGGGCTTCTGGGAGTTGGAGGCGCAAACATCTGGAGGGCTGAAGGTTGACAAAGCCTGATCAGTGTTCAGTTGGATGCACTAGAATGGGAGAAAACAAAAATGTCGTTGTTTAGTACTTCTATTTTCTTGCCTATCAAGGAAAACAAATGCACGATCAAGAAAGTACAAATTATTGGAAAAGCAGTTTATTAGTTTTTTAATTATTACACATTCCACAGCTATTTCACCCATTAGAAGGCCTTCATTGTTTAAAAGCATATGTACATATGTTGTGTTTTCCGTACTTTTACACACTGTCTAGGAATCCAGCTCATCTTGCATCTTCTATCCAGTGCTTGAACAAGCTTGAAAGACATGGCATTGAAAACGAACCTGGAATGATTTAAAGGCACATTAAACGTGTACACAAACTTCTCTGCTAGCAAACCTAGATGTATTTATAGACATAAATTTAAAGTTTGGATCCAGAATTATTGGAGTGAACAGTATGATTTCACTGGGAGAATTCTTTCCCTTGAGTTGTGGGAGCTTTCCGAACAGCACAGAAAAGAGAGAAATCAATGAAAGCTTCATTCTCTCTTCAAGGAGGAGTGTCCCCTGGACTGGTCCTTTATGGGAGGAGACTGAGCCTTCGACGCACAGGAAGGCAACTCTGGATCCAATTCTAAGAACGTCCTTAGGACTGAGAGAATTTGCAGAATTGTATAATAAACAGAACCGTCTTGGTCCAAATTAGAGACAGTCTAGAATGGCTAACCGGAAGGTAGCTATTCCAGTTACGAGTGTTTATAGAATACAGCTTCAATTCCTGCTTCCAAACTGATATGGAAAAAAATACAAGAGGGAAAAAAGTCAAAGGTTGGTTTTTATTAAATAAAATCTTAAACCACAGAGCTTTCATTTGCTTTATTAAGACACCACCCTATTGGGAGACTGTATATATCATTGAATTCAGGTATTCAGTCATTATATAGCATTTTAGCTCTAGCAACGTAAGCAGAGCGGTCTATACTGGCTGAATGTCTGATAGCCAAAATAGGATTAATTAATGAAAGGGACAAAAAAGTTACACTTTACTCCAGGATGTTCAATAGCAGGATTAGGAAAAGTGACCCTGCAGATCCACATTTAACAAACTTTTCAAAAATGTAGGGAATGCAGGACACAAAAAAGGTTCTCCAAGGTCACCTTAGAGCAGTGGTTCTCAACCTGTGAGTCCCCAGGTGTTTTGGCCTACAACTCCCAGAAATCCCAGCCAGTTTACCAGCTGTTAAGATTTCTGGGAGTTGAAGGACAAAACATCTGGGGACTCACAGGTTGAGCACCATTGCCCTAGAGGTTAGCATAGTGTTGTAATTTCTATCAGTGGTTCAATCCTATTTTAGGGATCCTGTTAAATAACAAGAACATGGCTTACTGAAATTGTGTCAATAGAATTTTTACAGGAAAAAAATACACAAAAAAGGATACAGCGAGAAAGGATACACTTTGCATGAGAGTATTACTGCAGTGTTTACGCAGGAATGTTTCTAAAGAAGAACAGCAGAATATGGTTTAATCCTTTTATTCTCTGTTACAGGTTTCTCTTTAGAATGCCTATTGTAAAAGAGTGGTCACCTTTTAATCGTTTGACAAAACAAGAGGAAGATATGTGCACAACAGCTCTGAATCCATAGCAAATATATATCTATATTAAAAACCGTATCAGTACAATGTCAGAGCTCACAACAAGAATTCTGTCTTTTGAGTCATTTACTAAAGCAGATGCTTTCTCTCTTGTTTCAGTGTTGTTCTGCCCAAGATTGCAGCAATTACTCATCTTTTAAAAAGAGGCTGGGGAACTTTGTGCTTTTCCTGCATGGCAGGAGGTTGGATGAGATGACCCATGTGGTCTCTTCCAGCTCTATTATTCTATGAATCTATGATATTTCTATTTCTGTCAGAATATGATAGAATGATCCAGCTCCAAATCCAATGTCTATGCATCTATACTCAGTATATCATTTTCAGTGAAAGGACACATTAGGGAAACATTAATCTCAGAACAATATTCATTAGCTACTTCTCACTCTTGAGCATAGCTACAAAAATCACATTTGTGGGGAGAGCAATTTTTCTAACCCGCATCTTATTTGGCACTATAGCAAATTCATCCCCTTTGAGTGAAGCTGTGTTGAAGAAGAGGGACTGAGGGCAAGCATACACTCTAGTTATGTTTAGTGACAAATACAGTGACATCCCCCAAATGAATTAACATCAGCTAAATAAGAGATAAAGTTATGAAATTTATTAAAACAGCAGAAGACAATTTGATTTTTAAAGTATCAATGTTGGAACAAGTTCTTCAATCTGTGCCAATCCACGATCCATGTATGGCAATAATCAATTTTGTCTCACAGACTGTCATATAGAGAGAAAACATTTTGGACAATAAATGAAAACATACTCAGACAACGGCAGACTTGGGCTTCTCTCCAGGAAAAAAAAATGCTCAATATAAGTTAAAATTACATAGCTTTTATAGAAACAAACAAAATTTGGTTAATATTAACCAAAACAGTAGATTTTGAAGCAGCATGACTCATTCAATCCAGCCTGGCTCTTTTTCTGTACTGGTGGGAGCCAGTTTAAATTAAAATACTCAGAAGGCCTCTGCCTCCTACTAAAAACACCACAATGTAGGTACAAGGTGAATGCTCTTGAGAGGCAGGACCAGAACTTGGCCTTAAAACCCAAGGACCTGATTTTGTATGAAAATGTGACTATTTCCTGTGCTGGTCAATGACCGAAATAAATGATTTGATATTTGTGGTCTACCATTCTCACTGGAGAAAATTAATATTATCAGTACAATAAAAATAGCATCTCCATGCAACTAAAAGTATTAATAGTTATCACCAACGTAAAGGCTTAGCCTAATTATAACCAATGAAGCTATGTCTGGATTATACCACAGGACACTGCAAGTGTAGGATCATATGCTGAATTGGTTCTCAATAAAAGATGTGTCCTTCATGTATGACTTATAAATGCATTGGTGTTTTCTAAGAGCACACAGTGGGCCAGAGGTACATATTCCAGCCCCCTCCCATCAATTCCTAAGTTCCCTGGACAAATTCTGTAGAATGCATGGTGAATATAAGGAGAAGTCAAGAATGGAGGAGCTGGGGCTCCTAACCTCTTCATATGCTTAGAAAAGAAAGTTGAAAACCAGTAACTCAAGAAGCTAAGTTGGAAGGCTTCTTCCCAACTTCTCACTTTCTGTGTGTAAACTTTAAACTGTCATTTACATAAATTTACAGTATGGACAGCCCAAACAAAGATTTATCACTTTAGGGGCAACAAATACATCATTTCTGAAAATAATAAAAATAGCAATAAAGGATTACACAAAGAAAGTTGTATGTTAAAGATTATTTACCTTTAATTTCTTTTCGACTTGTCTTTTCTTTTTTCTTCTTTGGCATCTGGCTTAGGCCTTGCTGATCGAGCAAATTGCTGAGGTTTTTATTAAGAAAACCGACTGTAAGAGTGATTCAGAAGAAATAGAAAAAGTGCAAGTAAAAAGACTATGAAAAATTATGACATTTCCCAATGTATGATCACAACTATCTTCACTATCACAAGTAAAAAAATAATATCGTCATTTGTTGAATAAATCATTCCAGTTTGACAGAATCTGTTTCAACTTTGTTTCACTGGACTTCCATAGAAAATTTGTTTTACAAAGAGATGGAATGTTAATGCAGCCAAAAGGTTGTCGCATTGAGGAGGGGACAAGCTTGTTTTCTGCTATAATAATAATAATAATACTTTATTTATATACCTCTCTATCTCCATGAGGGGACTCAGCGGTTCCCAGGTAACATCACAAAACATACAAAGTAAAAAACAACATAGCTATAAGATTAACAAAACAAAATATAAACATAAAAATTGTCGCCATAACACACATATTAAAAGAATCCTGCCTGTTCAAGGGAATTAAAAATTTTTAAAAGGCCAGGCCAAGATTTGTGCAAGCCCAAAAACATTCTAGGGGGCCTGGAAATTAAGTGCAATGCTATGGCAGGCAACAATGATATTAGGTATGGGTCTGTGGCTGTTCTAGAAAGTAAGACAGAGAACAATGGATTCAAATTGCAGGAAATGAAATTCCAACTAAATATTAGGAAGAATTTTCAGATGGTTAGAGGTATTTGCTGCTAGAGTCTCCTCTGTTTTTACATAGAGATAAGATGTCCATCTGTCAGGAGCGCTTTGATTTTGTGTTCCTGCTTGCCAAAATGGGGTTGGACTAGATGGCCCTTGCAGTCTCTTCCAACTCTAGTGGAATTTTAGAATCACTACTAATTCATTATCTGAATAATTTTGTTACTCATGTTCTGGTAATTTTAAAATATCTTGTACATAATCCTGTCTATGTGGGGAAAAGCAACTTGATTTCTGTGCTGATTATTTTTCTTAGTGCAAAGAACTAGTTTTCTAATATGCAAAACACATACTGTACCCCGATTAAATATTCATTGCTGTTCTGTAATACATACAATCAGAAGCAAAAGAAGAAAGACTACATTGTAGAGTATGCAAACTATGCAAAAGGTGTTGATGTATATTTTAAAAGAAGACAAACAAAATGCAACTTAAGACCGTGAAGCACCGATAGCTCTCAAAATACTCCCAAGAATCACAAAACAAGGCATTTCTTGGAGATCTTTACACTGTGTCAAGTCTGTCTACAATGTCATGGTCATTTTAACCCTTTCCCTATTTATATACAAGCATTAACTTTTCACAGATAGACTGTATCAGCTCGGTGCAAAGATCTTAACTAGAGAAAACTTTACTATTACAGGCGGTAGCTCTAGTTTCAAGTGCTCCAAAGTGCTAAATTGATGCAAAGTATTCACTTTCAGAAGAATGCGCTTGCAAAGTAAAGATCCCCCAATATATACAGCCCTTTGAATGTTTTACAGTATTTTCAGATTGGGACTACTTGAAATTGGCATTAGACTTCAGGTGGCAACATTTAACTGAAAATAAAAACAAAGAGGTGTGGGAAAGGATACAACCACCATGGGCTTATCAAACAAAAGGTATCCATTGACTTCCTTCAAGGCTTTGGTAGCCGCTTTCTCATCAGGTAATCCAATAAATGCTTGCCCTTTCATACGGCCTTCTTTCATCAAGCGTATATCAAACCTAAAGTAAGGGAACAGACCAAGCGCAACAATTATTTGCTAAATCATTCTCTCAGAACATAAGAATGGCCAACAGAACTTCCTTCTACAGGCAGAAAGGCCATGATAGACCCTTTATCTGACAGACCCTTTATCTGGATTAGCCGCAAGCAACGGCTATGACAAAACACAAAAATGTGAAATCATACTGAAATGGGGGAAGACGGTCTCTTTCAAATTCACACTTAGCATCCATTTCCCAACAGATGAGTGATGGAATAACAGGATGGCATTGTGGATTCCCAGCACTAGCCTGTTAATGTTGTGGAAACTGTCCCACAATTTCCCCTAAAAAACTTGGATTTCCTCAGACATTCAGAAAATACTCCAAAAGTCACTCAATGCAATTTTTTTTTAATCCATTGAGGTAAGTGTTGAAAAGATAAAGTAGCTGTTATTGTTTTACTTGAAAACAGATTAAACACATACATCTATTGTAAACAAACATCCAGACTTTGACGCTGCAAGGCTATTAAATGCTAATCAAGGTGGCCAGTTGCAACATTCACACTTGCCTCAAGCAGACAAGAGTTGTTTCTTCCACCCTGGACATTTTACAGATATATAAACCCCTCTTGCCCAGTTTCCAACAGACCTCACAATCTCAGAGGATGCCTGCTACAGATGTGGGCGAAATGTCAGAAGAGAATGCCTCTGGAACACGGCCATACAGCCCGAAAAACTCACAGCAACCCAGTGTTTCCAGCCATGAAAGCCTTTGACAGCACATTGAAAAACATACAGTTTGCAAAAGTATCATGGCTCAACTAGCAGCCAACAGAAGTCCAACCTATGCAAAATGTCCTGCAGCTTATATTATTACTTACATTATTCGTTCAACTTCTGATGAAAAATCAACATATCTTCCAAAAATAAACTTTAAGTCCTAGAAGAAAGATAAAAGCATGTAGAGAAAAACTAGCAATCTTGGACAAATGAAGCAAAAATACTATTTTGCATATTTCCAACTTACTTTTTCCTGAACCTGTTTAGAGAGATTTTTCACATATATTCTACAATTTGGATCACCAGGCTCATAGTTTCTGAAGACAGAGAGTGTTCCCATTTCTTGAAGAAAGAGAAAAGTTAGTTGTACATGTGCATTTTAAGGACAATTTCCTTACTTAAATCTCTGAAATCTATAAAAATGTAGAGAGTGTATTAAACACCTGAAAGTTATACATCAGCAAATGCAGAATCAATCCAAACAAGGCAATTGTTTTAAAATAAATGATACTAGCACTTACAATGCATATTATAATATAATTAAAAGTACTAAAATCACCTTTCTTTGATACTCTGCCTTTTTCTAGTTCTCTTTTAGAAATGAATTCTGAAGGTATTTCATCATCATCATCATCTTCCATCTCCTCTGCATGATTGGAACTGGGAGCAGGAAAGATTTTTCCAAATCCTGCATTATTTACTTCGTCAACTGCTTGCATAAAAGAAAAAAAAAGCATCAAGATATGTAATTGGGATGTGATCAACAGACACTTGGGATTTCATCTTTAACTGAAAATGCTACTGCACCTCCTGAACTAAGGACGGAAAAAAGAAAACATAAACCTTGCTCTGGGTTTTGTTGTTTGAATACAGAAATGGTGTCCTCTTTCATCTACTTCTTTTCTAACACACTCCTGGAGAGTAATAATAATAATAATAATAATAATAATAATAATTATTATTATTTATATACTGCTTTTCTACTTAACGGGACCCAAAGCGGCTCACAACATAATACAATACAAATCAAAACAAAACATAAAATACAAGACAAAAATCATAAAATTCAGAAATAAGATATAAATAAATATTAAGCATTAAAAACATTTAAAACCAATTACAATTATTGTGGAGACTCATCAATTAAATAGTATATTTCGCTAAGCTCAGTGCAAATTGACCTTGCTGTCATTAGCAATTGAATTCATTTGTCAAAAGCGTGCTTGAACAGGTAGGTCTTCAACTGGTTCTTGAAAGGTAACAGGAAAGGGGCAGTTTTAATCTCAATGGGGAGGGAGTTCAAAAGGGCCGAGGCGGCTACTGAGAAGGCCCTCTCTCTCGTTGCTGCCAACTATATTTGTGATGGTGATGGAAATGGTGTCTCTGCTGAAGCTTTATCGCCAATCCTTGTTTCCCTAACAAGCCATTTTTTTTCAAAATCCAATCATTACAGAAAGTGAGGTGAAATCTTCTGAATAGGGACACAGACCACAAAACAAATATCACAGGGGTGTTAACTCTTCCCTATGCTAACACATATATATTTGGCTGGTATAACACTTTAAAAAGGTACCTATTCCAACTGACATACAAATTCAACTTAAGGACAAACCTACAGAACCTGACTCATTTGCAACCCAGGAACTGCCTATACCATTTACAGAAACCTAGACAGGGTTCCCAGTTTCGTCTTCTCATACCATCCAAACAGGGAAGTATCTTACAACTATCAGGTACACTATCACCAATATTAGAGATGACAGTGGTGAGGAAGAATGGCCCACCTAAGACCAACTTGTGAGTTCACCAAAGAGGAAACATTTAAAATATACTCTAAAGACTTGTAACAGACTCATAGCTCAGTTAAGACACACACTTGGCTGAAAACTTTCTAACTACGAAGTTTGAAATGTGTAAGTTATGCAATTGCATACCTTCAAAGTGCTCTTTATCCAAGTTCTGCTGAAGAATGGCAGGTGGGTCAGCAGAAATGTGAAATTCTATTTTTTTGGGACCTACAGGCTGGGGCTGCTCAAACACATCAGAAGGCGATAGTGCTGGGTGCAAATTACTGTGTAAATACAAAATGAAGACGATTAAAATGTCTTTTCTGAATTATTTTTTCCACTGAATACTTATTTCTAAATTATTTTACATTTATTCATTGGCTCATTTAGTTCTAAAAATGTAAAACATCAAGCAGTCAAAGCTAGCATTTTATAAATGTTATGGGTTGACCAAATCGTCAACAGGCGATTTAAAGGCACATGCACACACCTTTACACTTTCTAGTGTAGATGCAGGCCACTTCTATCTTCTCTTTTTGACTCATTTTTTCTTTCAAGTAACTATTGGCACGTGTTCCACAGATTTTTTGCAGGCAGTGTGGGCCACTGAATTACTCAGCTATTTTTCCCATAAAGGTGTAGGGGAGTTCACACTGATGAAGTCATTTATTGTTGAAGAGTTGCAGAAGAGAACCTGATCCCAAAACCATTACAAACACCTTGAAAGGCTGAATGGATTCCCCCTCCCCCTGCTTACACCATTTCAGAATTGTGGATGACATTCAGCAAAGAGAGAATTGCCTACAAAATACCGCTTTCATGCCTGTATTGTCCTTGCACCATTAGGCAACTAGCTTTCCCAGCTATAGACCACTCATTAACTTTGAAAGATCCTCTGCACAATCCTAATCTATCCTCTCTCCCCCAAAAACACTCCAAAGGAAGAACAGAAAACAAAACATTACTTGGCAATATCTAGTAATAAACGTATTTATGAAATATTTCAGAAAAATATCCCATATTTCATTGCAATGCGTTTTATCATGTTATTTGTACAAGGACAACAGATAATTATCACTACATAGGGCAGAGACAGCAGCCTGAATTGAATTGCTCATCCTAAGTAAAATAAACCCACTAAATTATTAAGATTGATATAAATGTTTACCTATCATCCAGGATTGAGTCAATGACTGTATCAATGAAATTTAAATCTTTGTTTTCACACTGATGCATTAGGTGAGCAAAACATATCAATCCCAATAGGAAAGAAAACAACTTTAGCTCACTTTAGTTAAGATACAGAATATAGTTGTCCTGTGTTGTAGGAATATGCTGCAGTTTATTGTCAAGCCTGTAAATTTCATTTCTGTTGCTATACATCTTTAAAGTAAATTTGTTTCAAACAACAAATAGATCATTTATTCAATTGAGAAACCAAGAAAGAACACATTAAGGAAAGCATTCTTAGCAGCATTTCATATTATGTCCATACCTGGTGGGAGGAACTAAGGAGATGTTTAATAAGTCTTTTATTTTTCTCTTTTTTCTTGCCCGATGCTCTTTTGTGGGTTTCTGACGTTTTGGTTGCAGTGTTGCTAGCTCCATCAGTTTTGTAAATCTATATATTAACACATTGAATACTCATTACATTTGTTATACTAGTTTTAACCAAATCAATTCTCTCTGCCACCCCTCTTAGGCTTATCTGTTTTTCAAGAGCTCACAGATGCCCCATGTTTACAATCCAGAATGATGGTGGATGCCTTTACTTCCTTTCACACATGACAGGGTGAAGAAAGTGAGTGATCATCAATTCCACTGCTCTGGTAAACTGAAGAGAAGTAGTAAGTCTCAAGAAATGTTTTGTAATTTCTTGGGCTAGATCTTCAATATATATTTAAACATGTTGCTCATCGTTGAAGGTTGCATGATTACACAGAAACATCCACTAAAGAAAGTATGTATGTGTGTTGCGCACACATACATAGTTTCAAAATATATATGTGTATATCTGCATGTATGGGGAGTGTGTTATTCTGTAAGTGTACCTGTATACCAAAAGGAAAAAGGAGACCAAGCCTTAAGTTAGGGGCTGACTGCAAAATCTTACCAACCTTTCTTTTTCTTCTTCATCAGCACTTTCATATTCTGACTCATCTTTGCTTGAGCCTTGACTCTCATCTTCTTCAGGCAAAGGAGGCTCTTCGGGAGGCAAAGGTGGAATAGGTGGTGGCAAAGGGATATATTCTTCATACTAAGTAAGAGATAAAAAGACATGAAAAGCTTTTGACACTGAACTCATACATATGTTAGAACACACACAGACACATACAGGCATACCCTTCCTTATGCTATCTAAAGCTAAAATAAATAAATAAAAAATTGGCTGGTGTTTCACTTAAAAAAAAATGTTCCAACTTCCATACAAATTCAACTTAAGAACAAGCCTACAGAACCTATCTTGTTTGATCATATCTGTCATGACTCCCCTCTGTTTTGGCTTATTTGGAGACACTTTTAATTGAAAATGCAATATATGACCTTCCTTTTACGCTGTTAGAAATGTCCATTCTCCCCTCCCCCTATAAAAAACAATATCTTGATACTATTGTTAGTATAAGTCCACTTGGGGAGGGAAAGGACAGGATCCAAGGATATACAAGGTTTATAAAAACCCTTTATATGTTTGACCAAAGTGTTTCAAGAAAAATTTGCAAAGTGGCATCAAGAAGAAAATCAGACCCAAAAACTGCACTCAGATCATGTAAATACTTCTGAGAAACCAAGGAGTTCTTTTTGTCACTTCCCAAACTTTACAAAAATGCTTAAACTCACATCGTGAATGTAAGGTTACATACCATGGGAGGCCGAGCAGTAATTGGCCCAAAAGGAGGGGGAAGATTCATTTTGTTCATGAGATGTAAAACCTGAAAACAACAGTTCCGCTTTCAGTATTCAGTGCAATCCTTACTAAAGTTTTTTAATTCAGCATATATAACAAGAGCGGATTTCTATAGTTGATTCACACTTCTAATAGGTAATGAATAGAAAATTAGAAGTTTGGGGATAAGAAAAAGAGAAATAAGAGCAGAATTCTACAAAGGATTTAAAACAAACGTGTGACAAGACTGTCTTTCAAATATGTTTGTTTATAAATTTTTTCTCACTTAAAAAAGAAGATGGCAATAAAATGACCTGGTAAAAAGGAGAAAACTGAACATGATCTAATGAATCAGTAGCCAGAAAAAAATGTTGTAAGGAAAGCAGGAGAGGAGGGAAAATAAAGGAGGAAAGGGAAGGAAAAGGTATCAGGAGAAGGAAAGAAAGAGAAACAAGAGGTGAAAGCAGGAGGGCAGCAGCTCCTCTAACACTTGGGCAATACCAGATATATACTAGTTATTATTGATAAAGGCACTGAAAAACTGCAAAAAGCATGCACATAAAAAAGCATTCCTTTCAATGCAATTGAAGTGAATGCTTCTTGAAGAGGTAACCCATAAACAAAACCTAACAGGCTGTTGAAATAATGCATGACAGATGATTATTACTATCAGAAAAATATTTAGTTTGGATCAGAAAAACCGGCCTTATTAGGACATTGCCTTTCACCATATTGGTGAAGATACATTTCAGGAGTGGCAAAAAACTAAGAATGGACACTTTGGAAAAATCACCTTAGTGATACATAGCAGAAGAACTTCACAGTAGAACTACGCAATGGCAGCAGACAAGGTTTAAGCCTTGAATTCAAATGACCGCATCCACACATACCTGTACGTAAAACTTGGGTACACTTGCCAATGCATTAGCAATGTTAGTTAAAATTGCACTGGAGGGTGGTGGGTATAGATACTTGAGGCAAGAATTTAGAGGAAATGTTAACCTGTGAGAAAAAACAAACATGCTTACAGTTAAAGAGACAGAGGCAATGTGACCATATTAAAAACTGACTAAGCAGAATACAAGCTGTAGATGGAGACTTTTAAAATAGTCCATAAATAAGCTTGTAGCTTGCAAATCAAGAATTCCAATACATCGCAGACTTAAGATATTTGATCTTAAATCAGGAATTCCACAATCAGTATTACAACAGCAATGCAAGTAAGACTTGTGCATTTCTTCTTTCCTGAACAGTAACCCCTCATCTCAGATTGCAGGACACTTTTGAAATGAAGACAAATTTTAAAAGCTGGGCCACAATTATTCAAAGGCAATTACTTCCCTGAACATATGCAAAACAAATGTTTATTTAAGTTCCTACCTAATCTGCAAAGATGCCTAAAAGCAGAGAAATGCTGACTATGTAAAATAAATATTCACATACCAATGTACTTCTGCAGACAGGTGTTTATAGAACCTCAGAAAAGACACAAATGCACAATTTTGCCTCATACAAACAGAGCCCAAGTACTAACCCATGACTAGGAGCAATTCCACTTTCAATTTTGAGGCAGCTTACATCTTTTTGTTCCTTTTCTTCTTTTACTGGTTCTTCGGGACTAAATCAGAGATAATACAAATTCACATAGCAAGAACTGGAACCAAAGTGACATTATAATGCAACATAGACTACATTTTAAAAAGCAATTCTATTACATAAATTTTGGGGCTCTCTTTTTGGCATGATGCACTGTACTGTTGCAATGCAAGTGAAGTGATGCTCAAGATTTTGAAATACTTTTCATATACAGCTTTAATATTTTATTAAATGAACGATCATTTACTACCATTCTGTGAGAGTCATACGTTTAATTTTGGTTCACAAATATGAATCCAGACTCAAATCCATTAGTTTTTTATCTAAGTGACAAAAACAAACAAACAAACAAACAAAACAAAACACCAAATCTATATATGGAAAAGGTCCAGAGATATATTTCTATTTTGCTTCCTTTTCATGTCACTATGATTCTGAGCAGGGAAAAATGAACGGGGAATTGTTTCCAAACTAGAACTATCTACATTTTAGTTCACAGTCCTTGAGAAACTATATGCAAAATCTGAATGTGCACATTCAGTTACAAAAAGAAAAAAAACAATAACAATTGAGTGAAAACAATACATCTAAAAGAACTGGGTATAAATATGTATTATCTGAATACTTCCAAATGTATTGCTAAAAAAAATTGGGGAGCTTATAAGTAACCCTAATTTTTTCCCCAATATCTCATAAACCTAGCCACATACCTTTTGTCTTTTTTAGATACAGATGTCTGACTGAGAGCCTGATCACTGTCTTGTTCCTTTGCATATTCAACTACCAAAGTGTGGCCAAGAAGGTTCAACTGATGCAATTTCGATAAAGCCTTTAATGAAGCATAGCATTCAGATAAATAACCAGTTAAATGCATTTCAAAACAGTTTAATAAATCAGTATTTCTTAAGTCCTTATTTATCCCCTCTTTTATATTGCTTAGACCGGGTCACAGTGGGAAAACATTTCTTTTGCAAAACAAACCACTTTCTGCTTAATCTGTCTTAATGATCAATAAGCCAATGCTAACATTTCATAATTCAGTCCTTAACCAACATGCTGGAAATAACCAGTATTGAATTCCACAGGTCTGATTTCTGAGTTGACATTCTTCCAAGTGCTTGTTGAACATAAAACTTCAATACTTCTGTTTTTATATTTAAAAATGTACTGACTTACAATCATGAAAAAACCAAAAAGAAAAATGAAATAGCACTGATATATACCTGGGCTGCTGCACCTTCATTGGGAAAAGTAGCAAAAGCTGTATGTTTCTGAAAAACAAGTCAACAAAAATATCATTAGCAGAGACATTATTAATATATAAAATATGCACAGTAGTAGAATATATTTGAGTATCAGTAGCAAAGATGCAAGATATATGATCCTTTGCTACTGATACTCAATGTAATTTGACACAAGGAACAAGACAGAATGGCCATAATAGAGATATGGACTGGACAACTTATCCTCTAGGCCTAACCTGACAGAAGTAGAAATGCCCAGGCAAAACAACTATTTGTAGACTTCTTTCCAATACCTCCCAACCTGTTCAACTACAGCTCCAATGGATTTTAATGGTGAAGGTATGCACTGCTTTATCACTTGTGACCAACTATATGCCTAAACTACTTTTATTGTGTGTGTGTGTATGTGTGTTTGTGTATTCAAGCTGTGGGTAGCTGAATCAACAGGTTATGGAAAGTCAACTGTACAGTATTCTCCTCTCAACATTTAGCAATAAAAACCCAGAAGCAATTTAGATTCTAAATCATTATTACTACTGTAGACTTTCTTTAGACTTTCTTGCACAGCATGCAAAATACCTTTCCTTAAACAAGTAAACATATTACAACAATATTAGTGGTATTACTGTTGTTTACACCCCACTTTCTCCACAAACTGGAACTTGAAGCAGCTTGCAACTGAAAAGAATGCAACTGAAAACACAAAAAGTACATCCAAACCAAGCCCAGCACAAACCAATTTTCTCTCTTTCTCCCTTTGTAATGTAATACAGAATGTACTCAAGCTACAAACATCTGACTTACAAACAACTCATAGTTAAGGACAGGGGTGAAATGACAGGAAGTGAGAGAAATTTATCCCTAGGAAGGGAAATTCACTCCTGAAAGAGTTATCATGGGGAAAAAGGTATCTCCACAGAAGCTTGATCACCAGTCCTGGGTTCCACATCCCCCCCCCCCCAAAATACAATGATCACAGAAAGTGAGGTGAAACAGGGGAACAGACAGCAAAACAAACACCTCTGGGTTAACCCTTCCCTATACTGCCCAAAGCTTACACATACCTGTATGTCTGTTATATATGTTATGTGTGTGAATGTATAATATATACATTATATTACATATTCACAAATAATATATAACCACAGAGGGCTGGTTACTTCCAGCATGTTGGTTAAGGATTGAATGTAAGTCATCCCGAGTCCCCGTTGGGGAGATGGTGGCAGGATATAAACAAAGTTTATTATTATTATTTATTATTATGTGGGTGTGTATGTATATGGATACATTATATACGTGGCTGGAACTACACTTAAATAGGTACCTGTTTTAACTTACATACACATTCAACTTAAGAACAAACCTAAAGAGCCTATCTTGTTTGTAACGTGGGTATAGCCTGTATAGATTATGATAGCTTGTGGTCTAATATTTGTGTGTAATAAGGTATTTTAACAGCACAAACGAAAATAAATAAATAAATATGCAAACAATAGTAAAATAATTAAGATGTGAGGAAAAACAGTAATAGGCAAATTGAGAAGGTAAAAGGCTATTTAAAAAAAAACAGACAGGGCAATTGTCACCAGAGTATGGGGAAAGCAGCAATGATGGGAAGTAGAATGACACTGAGGGTGCATCTAAACCAGGGGTCCTCAAACTAAGGACCGGGGGCCGGATACGGCCCTCCAAAGGCATTTACCCAGTCCTTGCTCAGGGTCAACCTAAGTCTGAAACTACTTGAAAGCACACAACAACAACAACAAAAACCCTATCCCATCAGCCAAAAACAGGCCCACACTTCCCATTGAAATACTAATATGTTTATATTTGTTAAAATTGTTCATGTTAATTATTGTGTTGTTTAAAGTGTTTTATTGCACTACAAATAAGATATGTTCAGTGTGCATATGAATTAATTCATTTTTTTTTCAAATTATAATCCAGCCCTCCAACAGTTTGAGGGACTGTGACCTGGCCCTCTGTTTAAAAAGATTGAGGACCCCTGATCTAAACTGAAGAATTGGACACTGCGTGAACTGCCATGGCTGAAGGCTATGAAATCCTGTGAGCTGTAGTTTCACAAGGTCTGTATCTAACTCGGCCAAAAAAAGGGGAGAGAGGGTGCCCTATCAAAGTATAAATCCCAGGATACGACAGCAGTTCAAAACGGCATTCATTTGACTGAGTGAATTTGTCAAGGGATTTTTTGCCTCAAGTAACAAAGCAGCGTCATTCAGGTAGTATTGTTGCTAAAAGAAGTGCAGCCTTCCCTCCTGAAGAGGAAATGCTTGGCCATCCGAGCTGCCACATGTCACCAGAGACAGTTTAGCAGAGACCCCCCCCCCCACACACACACAAATACTCCCGCCTTCCCTTCCAAGGAGGCGCCCTGCCCAACCAGGGCCTGTTCTTCCCTACCAGCCTGCCGTGGTCGGACAAAACGCGCACGGACGAGGCCCCGAAGTGCCTCAGCAAGTCCTCCTTCTCCGGGGCCTTCAGCACCGCGGGCAGGTGCCGCACCAGCAGCGTGCGGTTCCTCCTCCCGGGCCGCAGCCGCTCGCCAGCCTCCTCAGACCTGGGCGCAGCCATCTTGACTCGGCGGAGGCACTAATGATATCGCGCATGCGCTCTGCCCCGCGCCGAAGAGGGAAAAAAATCTCTGGAGATTTCGAAGCGTGAAAGAAAACCTCCTATAGAGGGAGAAGACATCTCGCGAGAATTTGGGTTGGCATCTGTGTGTTGCAGGGTGATAATCCTGGGAAGGATTGTCTGTAAGAGCAATTGAGGTAATGAGACAAGCCCTCTCCTTAGCCTTTAAGACTGTGAGACAGACTTGAGAAACTAATTAAGGTAAAACCCAGTTTCAAATATGTAGCATAATCTAGATGTCTAAATGTTAGGGGACTATCCCAAAAATAGCAGAGCATCCAAAAATACAAACAGGATACTTGATTGAGCAGCCAGCTCGCAGCAAGCGGAAAGGCGAAGTGTTGTGTGGCTGCAAAAACATTTTGAGCTTAGCAGGCACAAATGCAGAGTTAAATCTTTAAGGTTACCAAAAAGCTTTATTTACAAATAACTACATTCCTTGATAGGAAAGAATTGGGCCTCTCTAACTCTATAACTTCTAAGTTCCAAAACAAGTGAGGAAAAAGCTCCAAACACTACATTTCCTCAAACACAGAATAGAGAGAGGCCTGTGTGCAAAGATGGAAAAGCAGAAGTCTTAAGCAACGGCATGCAACCTGAAGAGTATCGTAACACTGCCAATCAGGATGGGAGCAGAGAGAGAGAAAATATTTATTTATTTATTTATTTATTTAGGGTACTTTTACCCCGCCCTTCTCAAACCCCGAGGGGGGACTCAGGGCGGCTTACAAAAAGGCACAATTCGATGCCTATACAAATTACACATAATGTACAAAACCATAGTTAAAACAATTATCACAGTTAAAACAATCAAAACTATCAGTATATAACACATCATATAAAACTATTCTCATGCTCAGCGTTTCGTCTTTCAGAGTTCCATAGTTCCATTCCATTAGTCACTTCCTGACCATTGTCAAAGTCCTTTCTTTAGCTGCCCGATTGTCCGAATGCCTGGTCCCAAATCCATGTTTTCAGTTTTTTCCTAAAGGAAAGGAGTGATGTTGCTGATCTAATTTCCCCGGGGAGTGAATTCCACAGGTGGGGGGTCACCACCGAGAAGGCCCTGCTCCTCATCCCTGCCAATCTCACTTGTGATAGAGGCGGGGTCAAGAGCAGGGCCTCCCCAGAAGATCTTAGACTCCGGGGTGGGACGTAGAGGGAGATCCGTTCAGACAGATACACTGGGCCAGAACCGCATAGGGTTTTGTAGGTCAAAACCAGCACTTTGAATTGTGCTCGGAACTGGATCGGCAGCCAAAATAAACAAAACAAATGATAACATTCCAACTGGCATTGAGTCAGGGTGAAAGGGATTCCCTCAGCTTATTCTGAAGGAGCCCTGGTGGCGCAGTTGGTTAAAGCGCTGAGCTGCTGAACTTGCTGACCAAAAAGTTGCAGGTTTGATTCCGGGGAGTGGTGTGAGCTCCTGCTGTTAGCCCCAGCTTCTTCCAACCTAGCAGTTCGAAAACATGCAATTGTGGGTAAGTACCGCTCCGGCAGGAAGGTAATGGCACTCCATGCAGTCATGCCGGCCACATTACCATGGAGGTGTCTATGGACAATGCCGGCTCTTCAGCTTAGAAATGGAGATGAGCATCAACCCTCCAGAGTCGGACACAACTGAACTTAGCGTCAGGGAAAAACACTTACCTTTACTTAACTGCCATGGCTCAATGCTATGGAATTATGGGAATTATAGCTTTCTCTGCCAAAGAAATAGAAAAAAATGAATATGATGGTGTTAAAATGTTGCAAGGATGGACATAGAGTGTCAAAACCCAGCTACCTCATAAGACTGGAAAGAGCAGATTTCAAACAGACTCACATATAGCAATCCTAAGATGAACCCATTGCATGGCCTTTGTGACAAAATTTGTTCTGAAACAGGTTGTCATTAGCTTCCTGTTAGGCCCAGAGAGTGTGACTTTTCCAAATTCACCCAGTGAATTTCCCAAACGGTGTGTTGATTTGAATCCTGGTCTCTCAGCATCCTAGTTCAACACTAAAAGTACTAGACCACACATGTCAAATACAGTGTTTATGGGCCGAAACCATCCCGCCACATCATTTGAGGCTTTCAGTGCCAGGGAAACATAGTTTACATATACTGTCTTACAATTACAAATGGCCCTTTAAAGGCAACCATAAAACTGATATGGCCCTCGGTGAATATGCATACTGGAGTACCATGGCTCTCTGCACCCTCTCCCTATTGCCAGAAAGGTGCATTTTCCCCAAGCTCAGAAGTAGAGCCCTACCTGCAACTCTGCACAGATGCATTTACAAAACAGAATTTCATATTTCCCTATTTTTTCTGTTTTCTGCAGAAAAATTCCATGTGCCAATTTTGTGTAGAGCAAGAACTGTGGGGCTTTGAAGATTTTCTTGCAGTAATATTGTTAAAGATACTCCTTGTTTTTGTAGGAAGAAAATTAGCAAAGTACACTATGCCATTTCTGACCTTATATACTGCTGAACTTCTCCTTACTTCAGATCTCATCAGTATAGCCAATACTTAGGGATCATGGCTGCTGCAATCCAACAATATTTGGAGAGTTATGCATTCGCCATCCCTGATCTAATACATTGCTGAGTGAATAATAATAATAATGATAATAATATACTTTATTTATAACTCACCCTATCTCCCCAATGGGTATTTGATAAAACTACATTTTTTCTTTAGAGTCAAGTTATCGCTCAAGGAACACTGTGGAAGGTTGAATCATTTTCAGTTTGAAATAAGCATTCAAAAGAGATAAGCTCAGCACTCTGCCATTTTGAAAAGATGTCATGAAGGGTTCTTTAAACCAGCTGTAAAGGAAATGCACAAAAGCAAGAAAGAAAATACTGAATTATCGAAAACATTCCACTGATTATCTCCAAAGGTGTATTTAAAAATGGAACTAAACCCACATTTGGTTTTTTGTTTCATCCAAACTATGGTTTTTCTTAGTGAAAATAATTTAAGCTGACACAGTTTAACCAGCATCCTCTATGAAAAAAGACAGCATTCTCTTCACGTTGAAATCCTTGGGAAGGCCATTACTCTGTATTAACTGACTTTGATAAATAAAATGCTGAAGTAACCTTGACATATGTAAAACCTGTAAAATGTTAATATCCACCTTTGGGATATAAAGCTTCATTTTAAAACTACTTCAGTGTTTGCTTAAAGATCCCCATTTTTTGAGTATTAGGCAAGCACAGGTATTCCCTGATCTAATGAAAGTGACAGTGATGCCTAAGGAAGAAAATTGGTTTAGTCCATTCCTGAAGGGCATTTCACACAACCAAGTTAGACAGATAGTATACATCAAACATAATGGCTAGTTGTCAGAGATGGTTTCCCTCAAAGTAAGTCCATTCATAACCATGGATTTATTTGGACCCCAGGATTGCATATTTTGTGTTAATGTGGTACAAGTAGGCTTGAATGTAAATTGTAGAATGATACATTGATAAGCAGGGATGGGCCATGCAGAGAGACAATCTATGCAAACACCCCATATCCAGTCTGTTATCATTTGTGGTCAGGACATTTGCTTATGTGGATACAGTTTTTGCTTGTATGGGTTGCTTATCGGATAGTGACCTGAGAACAAATCTTTCTAGTTAAGGTCTTTCAGAAACACGATGAAACTATAGGCATCCAAAGAAAAGTGGTAATAATGTTAGTAAGCAAATGCAAACAAAGCAATATAAGAGTTGTAATGTGTGCAGTGTTCAATATCTCAGGCTGCATCATATGGTCAGTGTAAAACTCATACAATGCAGTTTAACTGCTTTGAACTGCATTATATGAGTCTACACTGACCACATAATGCAGTTCCAACTGCAGTGTTGATGTGACCTCACTCTCTGGACTGCTAAAAATTTGGAAATTGAAGAAAATATGCTTTGGGTGGACAGAGTTCTTACTGGTGAAGGGGAAATGCCCTCCATTAACAACACCCCAGGTTGTAGTGATGGAAAAACATAGTAAAGGAAGTATGAAAACAACCTTAAGGTACTGGGCTAGAAAGCGAACTGCAATCAGAGTATATGGTAGAAATAAATCACCAAAAATATATGACATACCAATAGTGCTGCTTCAAGCTGCAGAGAAAAAAATCTACTCTAGTTCTAAGTGAAATCTTTCAAGAATTTGGAAGACAAACCACTGGTCCACAGACTAGAAATGTGCAAGACACCCAAGAAAGGGGACACCAGGGATTGCAGTAACCACAGGATAACTGCATTAATTTTCCATGTAAGCGAAGTGATGCATAAAATTCTATTGGAAAGACTTTTACCATATATCTGGTAAGAAATGCTAGATATCCATGTTGGGTTCAGAAGAGGAATGAGAGACCATATTGAAAACATATGTTTGTTAACAAAGAATTTTAGAAGAAAGTCTGCCTGAGCTGTATAGCTTATAGCAAATCAATTCATTGTATAGAGCAGGATTTCTTAAATTATTGGTCCCAACCCCAAATGGGATTCCCTTAGCTCAGTGTTGTGGTCATGAAAAAATTGTCAACAATAACACATTCCTGAATGCCACCCATTTAAGCAAATCTGTTAGCATCACTTTGTAGTGTTTACAGTGGACTCTGCAGAAAATCCTCCGCTATGCTCCACAAAAAGGAAAATCAGCCTACTTAGCAAACCTTTTAAATGCTGATTTATTATTAGTAAATGTTGGTTTTAATACCTAGTTTATATACTTGTATACTGTACCTGGAGTTATGGAAAAGTTGAAGAAGCACTGGTATAGATAATGAAAATCTATTCATTGCTCTTTCAGGAATGGGAATACCAAAACATTTGATCTCAAACATTCAAGCCACTGAACTACATTGACTTTCTGGGTTATCCTACCATTCCTTTATTCCAATTTAACTTTAACTTACTTTCTGGTTGGCCTCCTTTATTAATTGCTGTCCACATTTGAAGTCAATACTAGACATGAGCATTCATGGAAAAC